CTGTGTTATTAAAATGGGTTCAGATTTGAAGAATCATGGACTTACTGTATTACTTGTTATACAGAATTAATTTCCAAGCCTACAAGTGTATACTTGATTAAGAGCACTACAGTTACTTTCATGGAGAGATGGTACAGCATATACTACATGCCTGACATTTCCTGGAGACTGCTTTCTTAATGTCACATGCATTTCATACCAGCCTAACTGTGTTCATTAGTTTAGAGTTACTCCTGGTTTCCCCAGCAGCAGTGAAATTCCAAATTAAAAATGTCTGCAGGATCCAGATCACTGATGCTTTCAGGTGAAACATCTGTCCGATTAATGAGCATGTATTAAAATCCCATGAATTTGGTTGTAGCAATGGTGTTCTGCATATTTTTTCTGGACCTTTGACTGCAGGCTTCTTGTAGTTGACTGTGTAAATGCCTCATCTAGGAGAACAGGCATTACATCCTTCAACTGTGTTCAGCTCCGTGTACTTCCAGCTTCACTTTCCTCCCTGCCCTGGTTCTCATGCCTTCTGGAAATGACTCTGGATGCAGGGGTAGTGCGACAGCACTGCCACCAGCTGATGCCACTCGGAACCATTAGTGCTCCTCAGTAGGCCACTTCCAGAGGTTAGCACTGGCCCCACCTCGAGCCAACACACATCCTGTACATCTATTTAATAGGGCTCCATGCTGTGCCTCACTTATAACATGTTTGTACCTTACCAGTGGGGAATCACTGTTCTTGAGAGTTCCCTAATGGTTGGCCACAGTCTAAATATGACCATTAAGCTATCAAGATCAATATAATCTATACCAATCATGCTATAATGCCATAAAAAGCAGCATAATAAACAAAACCACAGAATGATATAGAAAATAACTAATACCAAACTGAACACAGCACACTAAAATCATTCCTGTGGTAGCTAGAGGAGAAAATCGCTTAGATATAGCAAAACAAGGAAGGCTTGTTAGATAAATAATATAGTGAAGGCAATTTTTAAGCCCTCTGTCTTTCGACTTGTAAAGAAAAAGCTTTCCAAGCAGAATGATCCCAAAAGGATAACTAAGGAAAGGTTATAGAAACTGTTTTTTCTAAGGGCAAAAGGATACTTTACAAATATGGGCCTTCCTGGTCCTCTGTCATCAGCGCTCTGCCTTTTAGCTTGCACGTTTGAAAGCTGTTGCTAATCCCTGCATAATAAGCACCACATTCTCTGTAATGGTGGTAGATAACTGCTACCTTGCATCATAAGTCTGAAGGTATATTTCCATTGTAAATACAGAGTATTAAAAAGAGTATTTGAATGCCGTTCCCGCAGCTCGACTAACACTCTGTCGCTGTCATTTTAGCATCCTAATTACATCAGCATTGTCCTTTGTGACTCATACTGAAGATTTCCAATCAAAATATCTCTGATGAGGGAAGCAGCATCATGGCAATCAAGCAGCAGAACAACATCTCTAAATAATCCTGGCTTGCTCAACATCCCAACTACACTAAAGAACTGAGATCTGAACAGCTAAACATGTCAGGAAAGTATACATCACTCTGTGCACTGCTCTGGCTTAGATAGCTACTGAGGAGCAATTAAATATTGCTGAGAATTGCCAGAGTGCAGTGTACCTCACCCCTGGAATCCCATAATCCTGAATTATGATAAAAAAAAGTCAAAACAGTATCATTTATGCCTGTTAGTATCTTCCCTGCATGCTTGCATGGCATATGCAGACATGAATTCACACAAACAAATTCATATACTATAGACTTATCAGGTACTTCTTCACCAGCTATTTTTTATTCAAATGCATGGGAAGCCTAAACTATCAATTGCCTTAGGGTCCTAGGTGCCAGAGCATTGTGGATGTTGGTACAGAAAGCAATGCCTGTGTAAACGCTAGCAACTCTAAACTGTCCCCACTGCTACAACATGAAGAAAGCTGAACAAGGAGTTTATTTTGTGATAGTGTGAAATTTCTAAATATTCTGCTCTGTTTAGGGAAAAGAAAGATCTGCTGAAATGAAAAAGCAACCAACAACCCTTTTCTGGAGCTATTTCTGCTAAAAGCATCTCTCTCCTTATTTCATCCAACTAAAAAAATGCCAGGTTGCTTATAGATCTGGATCTGATCCTGAGGACTGTTTGTACTGATAGGATGCTGATCTGCAGCAAGCCTTCCCAAATGCACACATACTCTCCATTCACATTCTAGCCTCCTTCAAAAAACTTCTCGTGATTCTTAAACTTAATATTTAATCAAGATATCAGTTTTTAACATTGTTCCCAAAGGACTGCTGGCTGCTACAGCATAAGTTTGGAAATGCTGATGTCTCTAGAGCTTGGTTAAACAGAGTGGTTGTCTGGCCAAACTATAAACAAGCCTCTTTTTCGGAATATCTGTGGAAAATATAATGACTATGCTGGTATTTAATTTTGCTATGAACAAAAGATTTATCTCATATAAATAAAATCCTCCCTCTAGACCAAAAGGAAGATGTTTACCTCAGTGTACACTTATTTATGCAGTTAAAATATCATTTCATCCCCTTACATAGAAAAGCATGCTTTAGACTAACATAAAAGAAAAGTTATGATGACAGTTTTTGTGAAGAGTGACCAACTAGGAGGATACTCCAAAATTCAGTGTGGATGACATTTATACCTGGTTTGCTTGGGTTGTGGGACATGTGACAGTGACACTGGCAAGTCAAATCTTCTATCTGGATTAGTTTTCTCAAACGTGAAATGGAGCTACAGATACTCTCCTTCGTAAAGCACTCTGAAATGTGCTAATGAAAGCACGTGGAGAAATAATCACATAACTAAGATTTTGATTCCCTTGTACGGGCTGAATTCTATGTTAAGTGGGTAATCAAGCTCTGTGGCTGCTTTGGGTTTGCAGGTCAGGACAAATCAGATCCAGCAGACTGAAGAAATAAGAAGTGAAATCTGATCCATCAAACTACTTCTTAATATCAGCTTCATGTCATGTATGAGAAGTAGGTTATACTTATTGCAGAAGAAATTCTGATTTGTTCCACTGTTAGGTCTGTATCAACAGATTAATGTACCCAACCTTCAGCATGACTTAGGGAGGACTGCTTGTGTGGATGCCCTTGTACACAGCTCAGAGCAGAGCTGTCTCGCTTCTTGAGTATGGCCAGAGTGGTTGCACACCTACTGCATTTAACAGAGTAGATACAATTTGTCATTCACTGAGATGATTTTCTCAGATCTCACATAGCATAGGTGTGACAGTCCTTATGAACAATAGTTCATTAGCAATTCTATTAATTTGCTCAAAAGGTTACAATTTGGCCAACATAAGGAGCATATGAGTAATACATTGCGTAGCCCCTGTGAGTAAGGCTTAGCCATCTAAAAGATTGCCATACATTTTCTTTGATGGACACTAAGCTCTTCAGGTTCGTTAAATAAACCTGTATCCTGGCATGACTTGCACACATGGAAGATAGGGTTCTTAGTTTCAAGATGATGTAAAGAATGGATAAATGGAACTGATGGATACAGAGGAAGAACAGGGTAGGTAAATAAACTCTGAGCTGATACACAGCACAGCTTTGTTTTTTACATTTGCTCTCCCTATATATACTGTATGTTTAGGACCTTTTTGAAAAGACAATAAACATGCTATAAAAAAGCAAATGTTATGTAAGGATATATTTGTCAAAAGAAAATGACCCAATCTTTCATTCTATTTTCTACGATATAGGAGTAGACAGTATCAACAGTCTCTGTTCATCCCTTCCTTCCTTTCTTTCTTTGAGGTGATGCAATTGCTTTTTAGCCAGCATGGATCTCAACACCCCCTCTAGCCTCGATTGTGATACACTTAAGCATTCGCAAAAAATATGCTTATGGAGCTGTGTGTCATACATTACCTCCTTGCTACGTGTTACTCCATTGTGTTATGCCACCATGACATGTTGCTATTAATACAGAATAATAATGAAATATTTTATAGAGAATTGTTAAGTTCTGGTGATGATGGACTCTTCTATCCCCCAGGTAAGAGCTGCCCCAGCTTCCTTAGTCCTTTTCTCTCAGCTACCTCACGTTATTTCTTCAAATCCTGATTTCTAATTCAGAGCTATTTTGTTATGACATATGAGTTACAGCAGGGATCACAGGTGGCTTTGAAACTGGCCATTACAAATTTGTAAGAACGTATTCTTCATAGATTCCTAATATTGTTTTATAAACTTAGCCATAATGACAATAAGGAGGAGGAGGAAGCGCCTAATTTCCATTTGCTTCCAGAAACCCTTCTATGCTGGAGCTTTAAAAAGGAAGAGCTAAGAAAAAAATATGTTGTGACAATCAGTAGATTAAATATTAAAGGTTAACACCAAGTGTTTGTCTTCTTTTTTTTGCAGAAACTCGTACATAGAATTAGCTTTTCAAAACTTCTTATTACTATTTTCAAACTGTGTTTTGCACAGTATTTTATAACTGTTTTACAGGTAATATTAGCAAACTTCTGATTTTTAGGCTAGAAATTAAATGAATGTAATGAATTTTAATGGGACTCCTCCACACATAAAAATTGTCAGACCTTACAATTTGGATCTCGTAATGATGTCCACATTAAAAAATCCTTTTTTATTACATCCTAATGGTTCAGGTATAATTTAAACTATGGCTCTAAATCTTAACTTACTCATATAATCCTTCCTTGAAAAATGTAAATACGGAATTTAGCTTGTAGAATATGATGCACATTTCTGCATGGTTCAAAATTTAAAAAGTGAGCTCAATGGAATGCATTAGAGTCCTATTTGTAGTAGAGCTAAAGGTACAATTTTCAAAAGCACTTGTCACCTGTATACTTTAGAAAGCTACCACCATTTTAAAAACTAACTTGGTATTTTAATTGACACTTTCCTCTCCAGAAAGTTAGATAGTTGTATAATCTTATTCTAATACTAAAGGAGAGAGAGAGAGAGAGAGAGAGAGAGACATCTCAGTAAATAATTCAGCTCACCATGAGGTAAATATCTAAAGCAGTGAATGCTTCTTTCTCTTTACTGAGGGTACTTCTTTCGTGTTGGGTTGTAGTTGTTAATCCTCTTTTGGAGGTAGATGAATGAAACAAGGTCAGTCCTTTCTGGCTTGGAAGGTCGGGGAGAAAATGAGCAGCTAGCTATAACATTCATCTGGAAAACAGGAGAATCAAATTTAAATCCCTTCTGTTTTTGATTTGGTTTCTGATCTCCTAGACAAAAGACCTAACAACTAAGGAGGCATTCAGAAATGAAGGTCTCTGTGTCCCATGGTGAAGCTTAAATACTTTATTACTAAAGCAGAACTGGAACCTGATCAAACCACTGTGGTTGTGGAGAGAAACATCCTCCCTCTGTGATGCATCCCAGAATATAGCTGCTGCATATGAGAGTCTGGGGAAGGTGCAAATCTCGGCCACAAACAAAATAATTTTTAACCTGATCTTGCAAAATCTGAGTACTTTAAGCTACACGGCTTCTTATGCTATGTCAAAAATGTATCCTCGCCCCCTTCTCTGTGCTGAGTTGTGTGAAGCTTGGCATGCTACGAAAATGTTGATGGGGTGCAAGTAGGCAGGCAGCACAGGGAAAACGCATTTTGGTTTGAGAATCCTGTCAAAATAAGGTGATGCACTTGGGCTTTAGACAGCTCTGTCACAATCAAAGGCTAAGTGGCTTTTTCAGAGCTCAAGAACCAAAACGTGAACTTTTACATTGAAGACTTCACGGACAGAAGCCTGAACGCAGATGTCTCCAGACACGTGGAAGCTTATGTGGCAGCTGAGAGTTGGTAGCATCTCATAGGTGCTTAAATATTTAGATTTAAGAGCATGAAGTAGGTGCCTGAGTCCCTTTGCAGTTCTAGATTTAAAAGCACTCATTTTCAATGAGACTTTGACTCCTTGGCTATATATGAAAAGTTTCCAGAAAGCCTGTATGTCAAATATTTTCCAGTTATGTAGGAGTCTAAAGATTCAGCTATTGTGCTAGAGGAATTTTCTAATATTTCTGGACATTGTTGTTCAGTGATTAACATTAATGTCTTCAAAAACCTGCCCTCTGCCTCCTTTCTGTTTGCTTTTGAAAAAGGGATTTTAGCAATTGCTATGTAAGCTGCTTTTAAAAACTATCCTCCCATTTCTCTAGAAAACTGTAAAGTTTTCAGTGGTCCAAACAGTGCCTTAATTTTCATAAGAGCAGGTTTACTTAAAATGGTATGGAGAAGAAATAAAGAATAAGGAGAATGGAAATGTCAGTCTTTTAGGGCTTTGATGTGTTTGAAAACTGACTTCAGTTAAACCCCCATATTTGTTAATCTCTGTCTTAATAAAACTGCTGTAGGTGTTATGTGCTATTTGTGCCATAAAACATGAAGAAATAGCATGATTATTTTCAAATTTGTATTTAGATTTTTCTCATCATACTTGCATGAGAAAACTGCTTGAATATGTTCACTATTAAAATAAGCAAATAGTTTTAAAGGAAAAAAAGAAATTAACTCACTTCTTAATGATGCTTCTAATTTAGACTATGCATGAGATGTGTCATGAGAGAGATGCTGCAAAGAAAGATTGTTCTGTGACTAATATACAAAACTGAGAATCAGCAGAGTTTGATTCTATTTTCATATCTTCAGCTAACTTGCTGTATGACCTTAACCAAAGTCTTTAATTATTCTGCTCCACAGTTTATCTATAAAGTGGAAATAATGACAATCAACTTGCTGAGAGGTTATGAGGATTAATTATTTAGTATTTATATCTCCACATAGAATAGATAGAAATACAGAGTATGATGAATGATTAACATTATTTTGCTATTACCAAGCTCCAAGATTGTAGCCTGGCTATTTTATTCTACCGTATCTTCACTTCTTATAGTCTTGTATCTATCTGACAAACATCCTGGCTGAAGTGTTTTGAGTAACCACTGTAAAGTCCTTCTCTTGGCTCTTAAATCTCATTAATGCACAAAATACTCTCAGAAGCAGCAGAGAACAATAAAGTGCAGGTCTACCTCTGCTGCTTGCACCTGCCAGTGCCACAGGAAGATGAATAATGGATATCTTCCAGATAACATATATTTATCACAATCTAATGGTTTTGAACCAAACCAAACCAAATCTATCGGACCAATCAAACAAAAAAGCGGTCTAGAACTTATTTATTGCAGTCTTTGAATGCAGGTCCTGGAGACTGAAAAAAGACTACATAGCTTCTCCTTTTGATGGGAGCTGGGGATTATGCCCACAGGCAACAGACAAGAGTTCTTTTGAAGATGATGGGCTCCTGAAGCACTGATCTGACCCACACTGCTGCTGAATCTGGCTACCTCAGGCAGCATATTATGCAAACTGCTCAGTCTCTCAAGCAGTAGTTAAAAGAAAAAGGCCGTAGGTATGCCCAAGAGGTGTGCCAAATGCACTCTAATTGATGCTTGATGAATTGTGCAAAGAAATTAGAGAGTAATATTCATGATGTACATGTACTGTCATTTTGAATCAACAAGCAATTACCTATAAATGTATTTAAAAATTTCCTACATAGTTCTATTTAAGATACAGTGTTAAACGGTCTTTTTAATTCAAACATTGTTGCCATTCTAGGCTATACTTGATGAATTATTATTTTAAAGTGGAGTGTGCTGACAAAGATCTTCTGACAAACTTCTTTAAACGCCTGATACATTGAACGTGTTGAACTCTTCACCCTGTTTATTTGTTAACACAAACTGGAAGAAGGTGGCAAGTATCCTTTCTGATAATCAGAAGTAATGGAGGCATTGAATGGATGATTGCTGTACCTGCAACCACCTCCTAAGAGGAGTCTTGCGTGCCAACAGTTGTTGCTCATTATGGCCAAAGCACTCAGAAAAACCTGGGATAGCTCGCAACTTAGCTGTGATCTGTTTCCATGTATGTACTAGGAAAAATGATTTTAACTGTAGGGCTGAGGCAGAGTTTGGGGGAACCTATAAAGCAGTCATGCAAGTACTGCAGCGTGTGGAGGAAAAAAAGAGAACGTAAAGCTTTCTTCATTCTTTCCAAGCAATGTATCCAACAGATTTATCAGTGCTATTTTTCTATCTGAGGTCGACGCTACTACGAAATGGTTATGTCAACCTCATGGCTTAATACAAAATTTTCATAAATATATGCAGTCCGTGCCTTCACGAACAAAGAGGCTCCCTGTGAAAGGAAGATTAATTGCATAAGCCTTGGGAGACCATTCCCCATAGTCTTTAACCTAGAGGTAATAGTCATGATTTAGTCTATGCTCTTGCAGTGATGCTACATGCAAAAATTACACAATGTGAAAGAAGCAGTCCCTAAAGTATTCTTGAAGCTTGCTAAAATCCCAATGTAATAAGTTACCTAAAATGATCATTTTGTCTCCCTACTTTCTGTGAACTCTGTTTCTGAGTGCAGTAGTATAAACACAGCCAATCCTGAACATCTTAACCCATAGAAATTCCATTTAGGAAAGATTTCCCACCCTCAGCTTGATTCTCTCCTGATACTTTATATATCTGCATCACATTTAGAATTGGAAATTTGTTTCTGAATAACCCTATACAGTGCCTTGTTATGAAGGGTGTGTTACACCCGCGAGTGCCTGTGAAGGCTTGTATTTTTCGGTCTTGGGGAGCAAATGAAAACCCCTGTAGCTCTATAACATATGAAAGTACAAAGCCAGGAGTACCTCTGAAGCAGCTTGGTTCTTTTATGACTGCTGCTCTGAGAAAGAATCATACATTAGTTAGCCAGAAAAATTCACACAAAATTTGACTATCTTCCTTACCTAAAGATAGAAAAAAATGAGTGTTTTGAGGGCAGCTAACTCCCTTACAGAGCCTTATTCCAACTTGTAACAGCAAGAAAAACCTGATCTGCCAATCTAAAACAAATGCAAACTCCTCCAAACAATAATCTTAAAAGACAGGACCAAGTTTTCTGATAAGGATGTTGGTCTTAGTTAATCACCTTACGAAACCTTACTTTGACCTATCAAGAAATAAGACAGGCAGATAAATCTGACAATTGAAAACTCTTAGGTAAATCCTACCCTATATTTACTTCCTGAGAATAAAACCTCCACAGTGGTGGTCCCCAATGTGAAAAATACAGCCTAGCGTAAGGTCTTTTTGTGCATTAAAGAGAAAAAGGAATCCACATGGAGAAAAATTTAATACCATTATAAAAAGGCTTCTTTCAGAGAATTAGGAAATTTTCTTACTCTACATTTAATCTCTGCCCTATGAGTTTTGCATGGATGTACTGTCATCAGAAGTAATTGTGAAATGACGTGATATCAGAAATGTTTTACACTTAGTCTATGTTTGAACAGAACCTTATAATTTTATCTGGTATAATCAAGGTTCAGGGCAGTGGGCAGACACAGTTTGTTTCTACATGTCTTCTCCACCTTCTTTCTAAGTGAAGACCTAAAGGACGGTATCATTAGATACTTTACAGATTACCAGGAGTTCTGTATTGGTCAACTGCCAACACTAGCCCAGGATCTAAACTCCATCATACAAATCAGCTGTTGCAAATACAAAACAAAGAAAACCTAAAAAATAAAATCTACCCTCATTAAGCACACATCCAAAAATATTTCATAAAGTTTTGTAGTAAAGAAAATATCAGAATAAAATGCTTAAGAGGGTAGGGAACAAATATTACAGTTTATATATCTGGTTAAAAGGACAATTTAATCTTTGTCACTTAAAGTGATATTAGTTAGTAACACAGGCATCATTATAAGTAAGTTTTACAGTCATGAAGAAAAACAATGTATTTTAGGGATGGAATCACAATCGCTGATAAACATACTCCAAGAAAATTAAATGTTTGTTAATGTGAACATTCTTAAACTCACTGATATGGAGAAGAGAAAAACCACAATTTCAAGTTATTGAATGACAACTTTAGACTAATCACTGCCCCTGAGAAGTGAAAAGGACAAGTCTGAACCACGTAATAAATAAAAATGCAAGTGTGTCGAGTAAATTAAGCATGCAAAGGAAAAGAAAAAAAGCTATTTCTGACTTCAGCTATGTCTGACACGTCAATTACATCTACAGTCCTGAATACACATTAGCAATCTATCAGATTAATCTGAGTAA